ATTGTGACGGGGTGACGAAGGTGGTGTTGTTCAGGCGGTGACAATGGTGTTATTGTTGGTGGGTGTTTTAGGGATTGGGGTCAACGACGAATGGGACGAAGTGTCTGTGACCAAATATTTGGTCGTCTGTGACCAACTATTTTGTGTCTGTGACCTAACGATTGTGATTTTTTTGATATCTGTGACCTAGCTTAAAATTGATAATTTGTATCTAAAAAAATAATCTGTGACTTCGAAATAATATGTGATCTATAAAATTTTAGATCTGTGACTTACAAATTTTTTTATCTGTGACCTGAAAATAATACGTGACCTACAAAAAATTTTATCTGTGACCTCAAAATAATCTGTGACATACAAAATTTTTGATCTGTGACCTCGAAAAAGTCACCGGAGTGGTTACCGGTTACCGGAGTAGTCATCGGAGCAGGGGTGGCAGTGGGATGAGTTTATTATATTATATTACAGTTAAATATTTAATTTAATTGATTAATTGTAAAATATAATTAATTAATTCATGGAAAAACCCGAGTTTTGTAAACTTTTGGGCCTGATTTTTGATTTCGTGAAAAATAATCCCTGACCTATGAATTTTTTCCCTAAATTTACTTTCAGCAACGGTCTCGCAGCTGTTTATTAAAAAAAATTCAAAATGGTCATTAAATATTTTTTCATATTAATGATCACTTAAGATTTTAATATTAATACCAATGGTCATTCATCTCGATACATTAATAAAAAAAAAAATCTTCGGTGACACCATTGATTGTTAATATAGACACAAATGACGTTAGGTAATACGTTTCTAAAACTACGTTCACAAATTCCTCTTTCGAGTGTGATTGGTTCTTCCAAGTTGAGTGTGTGTGATAGGCCTGCTGGCTAAGGTTTTGCAATAGCTCGATTGAAAAGGGTATAGTAAGGAAAATTCAACGATTGGAAATAGAAACGATGTCGACTCTCAATTTTGTTATCTCTATCTTCAATTTAGTTTTTTATCTGTTCACCGTGACTGCTTGATAGACAAAGTAGATAAGAAAACTAACCCATGATCGGGAAAGAGAACTTAGACAAAGCTCTTTTCATTCGTATCATTCAGTTGCATTAAAAGATCAAAGAAAAGGCGCTTAAAATAAAATATATTATAAATTTTACACTGATTTAAAAAAAAATATATATATATAGAATCATGTTTGTTTATATTTTCACATTTCAACATTTTTCTCCCAACTGCAAGTTATTCCTAACTCCTTAATTTATTAATCTCAAAAGCTTCAAAGTTATTTGTATCCATGTTAATATTTCGCGTGAAAAAGTGGGGCCGAGGGACCGTTAGTGTAACAATTAGAAATTTGAGTGATTATTATTTTTTAAAAATACTTCAATGGCCATTTTGGAGTTCTTATCAAACTTTAGCTCCTCAAATTAAACCCTTTATTTACCTGAAGTAGAATTGATTCGCATTCACAACTCACAAGCTGTTACCACGAGTGAAGAAACCTACTACAACTCGGAAACTGCAGCGAATGCAAACAAAAACATCATTTTGGTAACCCAATTTGATTACCCGGAAGATTTTTCCTATTTGCAATTTGCGTCTTTACTAGGTTTTTCTACTTTATTTGGTTAAATCTGATTTTAGATGAATTCTTGATAACTCTGAAGTGATAGTGATAGTGATAGTGATAGTGATACTTTTTTGCACGGTTGCTTCTTGGTTTAGGAAGAGACGATAGAAAATGAAGTTGTTTTCATATGCCATATCTATATGTAGATGTTATAGTTCTAAAGCTTCTTCTTTCAATCAAACAAAATGGGGTGGAAATGATACTCCTAAGAGGCCTAGAATCAAGTGGACTAATGAACAAAAGCGAGTTTTGGATGCTATTTCAAATGGGAAGTCTGTTTTTATTACCGGTTCGGCGGGGACAGGAAAAACTTTTGTACTTGAGCATGCTATCAAGAGACTTAAGAAAATTCATGGTCGTTCAAATGTTTATGTGACAGCGTCCACAGGGGTAGCAGCTCTTTCCCTTGGAGGGCAAACCCTTCATTCGTTTGCTGGAGTTGGCATTGGTGATGCAGATCGTGCAAGTTTAGTAGAAAGGATTCTTTCTAATAAAAGGGCTCACCGGAGGTGGAAGAAGGTTAAGGCATTGGTTATTGATGAAGCTAGCATGATTGATAATGAATTGTTTGAAAGTCTTGAATCCATTGCCCGGTTTTTTCGAAATGAAGAAGGGGTGTGTGAGAACAAGATTTGGGGCGGAATACAGCTGGTTGTGAGCGGAGACTTTTTTCAGTTACCACCAGTACTCAAGAACAAGAAAAAGGATGCTAAGAAATATGCTTTCGAGGCTGATTGTTGGAATGCAAGTTTCGACATGCAAATTGAGCTTACTAAAGCATTCAGGCAATTAAAAGATGAGACACTCATCAGAATCCTCCTGGGAATAAGAAAAGGGGAGTGTGATCCTGGGGATTTAAATTTTTTGGAAGGATGTTGCTCTGGAGATGAGCCAGATCCTTCAGCTGTACGGCTATACCCAAGGACTGAAGATGTAAACAAGGTGAACAAAATGAAAATGGAGAGCTTAAAGGAGAATATTGTTGTTTTTAGGGCTGTTGATTTGGGTGAGGATCCATGGAAAAGGCAGCTTAAGCATGGGATTGCACCTGATGAGCTAGAACTTTGTAAAGGTGCTAGGGTGATGCTGACTAAAAATAAAAATCCCTGGCTCAAACTTGTGAATGGTGCCACTGGTACAGTTAAGGATTTCGTCGAGGCTTCTGATGAGCAATGTAAAAAATATAAAACGTGGGATGGTGATGATTTCAGTATTTTCCCAGTTGTGGAATTCGACTGTGGCATAGAAATGAAGGTTGAGCCAGAAATATGGGCCGTCATGGATGGGGACAAAGTTGTTGCCAAACGAAGGCAGATCCCTCTCATACTGTCATGGGCTCTAAGCATTCATAAGTGCCAGGGAATGACTCTTGACAAGCTCCATACGGATCTCAAGCGTGTTTTCGACTTTGGTATGGTCTATGTTGCACTTTCACGTGTAAGACTCTTGACAGGCCTTCATTTGTCAGGTTTGGATCCCTCAAAGATTAAGGCACATCCAAAAGTTTTGCAGTTCTATTCTAAATTTTCTGGTGAGCAGGATGGGCAAGGGGAGGATTCTATAGCTGACAAAAATTAATTTTTGTAGCATAAATTTGCTCAATTTTTAGGATAAGATGCTTAGTCAACCAATATCATAGTTCTTGAATCAAGTTTCATTATCAACAAGAGCATGGCATTTGACGTCATCTTGATTGGAACAGAATATTCATGTGAAGATTTAATGGCTTTCCAGGCTATGGCCTCGAGTAGCTCTTGAATACCAAATTGCAACACTTTGCTTACGATGTTATGCATCTACGCAATATTTGATAATGATGAAGGAAGCTTCATCTTTTCTTGTGCTCAAGTAAATGCTGAAATTTAAATTGGAATAGAACTCTCTGTAATCCTATTTGCATTTGAACTATGAGCTACACTTCTTATGAAACATGTGTTGTTATTCACTGAATCTAGATTTTGCATAGTTAAGCTTAGACAACTGCATGTTGGTCTCGACTCACTCTGCTATCCCGCACTCCATTTTCTCCCAATCTGGAACTCTTTCAATTATTTTCATGCTGAAAGTACTGAGAATCAGCTATGCGTTGTGGCTATAGAGTAGTTGTATATATGACCCAAAATGCCTTCTAGGTAGCAGTTAGGTCAAGAGGTATGTTACAATCTCTACATTGATGCCTAATTTCCATAGAAAGGTTAGCAGCATGGTTAAAGATAAAAAGTCACTTAGCATTGATCCTCCTCCATGCATTCCAAACTCCTTTTTGCTGCTTTTGACAGAACTTGAACTCTTAGTTGCTATTTACAGTGCAAAGTGTCCCAAGTTGAACCATTAAGCCAGGTTCTCTTAGTATTGTAAATTGGCATATGCCTGATCGAAATATTGGAGTTAAAACATCTGAATTTTAACTCATCGTGTAGTCATGTTTGAATTGGGGTTTGAAATCAAGCTATGTCTCAGGATAAGAGATGCAGCTATTCGAGTGAGATTCAATTGAGATTAACTCTTTGTTAAATATGCTAACATCAAACTGCCATCTAGATGGATTTGTACATTACGAGGGGGAAAAAATCGGTTTCAAATAGTAGCCGGTGACCAAAATTCTTTCTGTCATGCATAGTGATATTTTCAAACGCAAATTTAAAGGGGAAAATTATGAGTTCATCTTGCTAAAAAAATCCAAAGATTCTGTGTTTCCAGAAATAATTCCTTATCCAATAGTCGAGTGCGATGAACCACTTCTCAATTTAGAACGGTCCAACTTCAAGACGGTCTCAAACTTCTGGAGATATTTAAGGGCATTTACCTGCAAAAAGATACGGATCAGGTGTGAATATCAAGTAAGAACAACAGTTCAGGTCCTACCCTCCCTACTCCCTGTTCTTACAAACGGGAGAAGCTCTATGCAAAACATGCGGCCAAAGAATTCAATATGAAATGAAAGTTGTTATATCAAGTTTCGCGTTAATTATCACAAAGTATAATGCTTTGTTTACACGTATAAAGCAATTCTGAAAATTAATGCACTGAAGATATATTATTGTAATACTCTGGATAGAATCAGTAACTGTTAATACACAGATAAATTTCATCTTGGATATTCAAGAAAACCTTGTTAAGCACTTAAACCATTTATGTGAACGTGGATCGATTATAGTAATTTAAGTTATGAAATTTTAAAGCTCAAAGATTTGAAAATACTGAACTATTCAAGCGTCATACATAATAATAAATTAGCTTAGAGATAGTGCTTTACTTCTCATTTATCCATAATATAAATGAGGAAGTTGAAAAACACATATTTTTCATTCTCTGTATTTCAGGCCAATTTGTAAAATGCTCTTTCCAAGGAAAATCGCGTATTATCTTGAACATCTTACATGCTGAACTAAGCGCCACAATCTTCATAAAGAAACCCATCTAAGCATAGAACCACTCATACTGTCAGTGTTTAGGGTCCTAGAGCTCCTCACAACAGATGGAAACCACCAAAACCACAAACCAAATAGATGTCCTGGTAGTTGAGCAAAAATATCTATGCATATACCAGACTACAATATTCTGTCCAGACTTTTTTATTACCCAAATTTGTACTTCGTAACCTTGACTCAAGTAGATTTGCCTATAATCATATATCAAGGAACATGAGCATTCTGGCTATTCTAAAAATTTTTGAAGTGAAATGTGCTGTCCTAATTCATACATCTTGTTCAAGTCATTGTGCCCATGCTATGACGTACTCTAGCAATGTCAATGCCATCAAGCTTTTATCAACATCAAGAGGAAAATGAGGGAGGGGTGGGAGAGGGATAGAGAGAGAGAGATTCCACACCTTCCAACGTCTTTTATGAACAGGATGATTGTTAATTTCATCCAACTTGAGAATTATTTCACTGAAAGTAGGTCTCTTGTAGGGTTTCTCGTTCCAACAATCCTCTATTAACCTGTTCAGATGTCATAACACCTGGTAAACAATCACATTCCCATTGGATATGGAAAGAAAATTGGAAGACTATTTAAGTTTTTTAACTGTCAAGAGTATTCATCAAATTTAAGGATGCAGAAACTGAATAGGTAAATGAACAAAATGCAAATGCATACAACCCAAATCTAATCACACAAACTTCTTGGCATTTGTAGTTATTCATTGTACATAAAAAGTTGCAAAATAAACCCTATTCTACAGTACAGGGCAGCAAGGGGAGGAATTAAATCTGGAATAGGCATCCGAAAGTTCTCTCTCAAACAAATACCCGGTCTTCAATATCTTGAGTTGATCAGAGAACACAACAAACATTCATATTGAAACCAAAACAAAATATCAGAAATATATTCTGACAAAAATCTAAAACATTAACTATACATTCTGCCTTCATAGAAAGAAACCGAGGAAAGCATACTGTGCCATGTTAACTTGAAGTTTTACGAGCATCCACAATCACTAGTGACAAAGTAAAGAAGCTAAACAATGATTTGAGGTACTGGGGTTCTTAATAATATTAAAGCAAGAATACTTATCCAGTGCAGAAAATCGAAGGAAATTTGTTTTACATGTTGGAATTTGGATGGTATTTACGCATAAGATTTGAATTTGAGTGGGTAAAAACTCACTACCTTCTTTTGGATGGCATTATAAAAATTAAAAAATGGCAATCAATCCCAATCCTAAATCTGTACTTTTAATATAAAACTTCTCTGTTCAGCGAACCTGATTGATAGGATCTATAAGTTATGGATTCATGTATTCCACTTAGAAAGATGATAAGGAATATAACATGAAATGAATCTGCCTAATTTATCTCCAACCTAAGATTTGGAAATCGTTAATTATAAATCAAAATTCGAATCCAATCCTGAAATCACTACATTTCAGCGCCAAGTTGTTATGGATAAACAAAGAGGGGGAATTACTTTGACACAGAAGGATAGAGAAATTTGATCAGTCGATAAATTGATTATTGTTCGACTTTTGGTAGCCGATGGGAGAGAATGAATCTAATTCGAGCAGAACATAAAAAATTACCTAGACTAACTAGAAAAATCTCAAGATAAGATGTAGAGACGAAAAGAGATGGTGTGTTCCATCACAAATTGATTGAACTTGAAAACGTAAAGAAAAGAAAAGCAATCTCATTGTACCTTTACCAAGCAAATTAGTCATTAAGTGATTGAGAACAAAAGCTACCATTTGGTCAGATAATTCTAATCAGGATGATAGGAAAAACTAGGATGAAGGCATGAATTCCAAAATTTGTCAAATAGTCTTTTATTTCTTTTCCTTCCCATAAACCTTATCAAACAAAATTTTCCTTCAGGGTCTGCTTGGAAGTTTTGGAGTACCAATTATGGACATTATTTGAAGTACCGGCTTCGAGCGTTTATGAGCAGATCGATTTGAATAGTTTTAGTAACGATTTTTAAAACGGTCCAAATTATGCTTGGGAGTTTATTATTTACCGTTTCTAAAAGTTTTTTAAAAGAATAAAATTACATATATGACCCTTGGTGAAATTTTTCAATTTATAATTTCTTGCATGAAAATTTTTCATTCATAAGTGATATTTTACTTGCAAGTAATTTTTTGTTATATACAGTTAATATTTGCTTAAATTTTTGACTATTATTTTTTACTTATAAGTAAATTTTACAATTCTAAGTTAATTTTGTACTTTTAAATAATTTTTACATATAAGTGAATTTTTTACTTACAAGTAACTTTTTTATATTTTATAAGTAAATTTTTATCCTATTAGTTGTATTTTTACTTTCTAAACAAATTTTTACACAAATGTGACTTTTTACTTGTAAGTAATTTTTTTGCTTATAAATAATTTTTTTAGTTAGTATTTTTATTTATAAGTTAGCTTTGAACAAAATATGTTGGTTGAAAATAATTATCTTATAGGAGGTAAAATTAGAAGATAATATGATAACAGTCAAAACCCACCGATTTGGTGGGTTGAGAAAAAAGGTGAAAATTACATTACACCGATTTTGAGTGTTTAAAACCACCAAAAATCAGTGCCCAAAAAAATTAGCAAGCACTAGTTTCCTACCCCTCATAAAAGGTACCATCCAAAACCGTGCCCTTAAGGTTGTATAATAAATTTAAAAATTTAAACTTCATTTCCAGAGCACAGGATAGAGCTTCCACTTGAAATCATTGGAGCTCATACAAAAAGTAAATCCATCTCAGATGTATTGAAAACGGAATAAACTTCAGAGTCTTACTCTCGCAGTCCATGAGCATAAAGTTTCACTGGAGCTGTAAAAGGGGGGCGCTCATTTGCAACGTATGCTTTGGCAACCTCAATTTCTTGCCTTCTACGAAATGGTTGACAACCTTCGATCATCTATGGACCAAAATTGATAGGAAAAACAGTTGTCATGCCACAATTGTTCAGAAGGAGATTTTTATCACACATTGGTGAGTTCGTGCATGGCAGGTACAAAACAACATAAAAAAACCTCTATCTAGTTTCTACCCAATAAAGATGGGGAAAAGGAAACTGAGCCAGTATATTTCAAAAAAGTTGGTATAATTAATAAAAACCAATCACTAGAGTCTGTATACCATATGTTTTTCTATTTTCTCTGCACAAATCACCTTAACTCGTTAAACTAACCTTTCCCAGTTCTGTCCTATACGTGCCAATAAACTGTTATCCCCATAATTCTTTTTAACTTTTAGCAACTCTGATGTAATCACATTAGCTTGTTACACAACCAGTCCCAGTTCTCCGTCCTATATGTGCCAATAAACAGTTATCTTTCTCCTCAATAAAGAATTTCATAAAAAAATTTAGCATCTCCGATGCAATCACTCTCTGATAAAATGGCGGAGTTAAATACGGAAATTCACGACAAGCTTTATGCATGATAGATAGATCGTACACAAGTAAATGAAATACCATCCAAGTCATTCTTCAGTTTAAACGGATTTTCTCTAGGCATGTATCGATTCCCTCTATGGGCTAGATTCGAATCAACCTGATAGAATACAGGCGATGCTACAGTAGTTGCACGGATATTGTTATACTGTATGCCTGAATTTCCCATTTTTTTGCGCTAGAAAGCTAATATAGTCATCTACTCCGGTCCTACGTATTCTTCATATCCCTCTACCGAAATTTAAGTCGATCTTATGCGAAGAGAACAGCATATTATCTTAAAGAAGATCATAACAATAAACATATCCGGTACCATCAGGACCCAAAATGCTCAATACGTGCTAATTTTCACGAGACAAGTAAAATAGTTTGTCCTCACATCTTTTTTAATTTTGTCCAAAGTCGCAGGATCAGTTCAGCTAAAGCGTTTATTTGGATAGAGGGGGTCTCAAAAAATTATAAATCCGAAAAAGGTAAGGATAACATAAAAAGGCGATGAACATAATATGTAAGCAATGAGAAAACACGTGCACCTTAAGAAACAGAAATACATTGACCTGAAAGACCTAATTTTGTATGATAAAAAAGCAATAAAGAATAAACAAACATTGACCACCCAACCATTTTCTATCATTTGACCAAACAACCGCTGTACGATTTATACAAAAAATCAGGTGAAGTTATTTATCGACAAATAGGATTAAAAAAATGCAAAGAAGCATTTACCTCCTGTAATATCAATGCAAATGAAAAGACATCCACCTTTGTATCATACTCCTCGTTTTTAAAAACTTCTGGAGCCAAATAACGCCCTGTATATTAAGTGCATATAAGAAATCTAAGCAGGAAATTAACAATCTCATCCTAGAAGCAATAACATTCAAATGGCTAAATTGAAATTAATTTTGCCATATGCATGGATAAAAAGAATTTTTCTGCAGGCAAGTCTTACAGTTGGAGGAAGGTAAAGTCTGTACAGCATCAACAAAGTAATAAAGAAAAAAAATGTTAGCACTGCTAACTTAGGTAGATGCTAAATCTCCCAAATTCTATTTAAATTTAAACCACAGGATAAAATATATTGCTTCCTATAAATTAGATACTTACAAGAAGTCTGTTGGCAAGTCTCAGGTCTATCTTCTTTAATTGATTTTGCAACTTTCATCAGCTTGCTTAGTCCAAAGTCTGCGACTTTTAGATGGCCAGAATCATCAAGGAGTATGTTCCTGTTTTCATTCTCATTATATTCAAATAAATTCTAGAGATTCTACACATGCTTCAGCATAAGAAAAAAAAAGGCATAATTGACCATGAATCAATCACATTCAATAAGAGGAAACATACGAAGGCTCGAGATCCCGATGAATTATTGCTTCAGGCTTATGCTCATGCAAGTAGTTCATTCCTCTGCAGTACATACAAAATATATAAATGAATATACAAAGAAAGGAAATGCATATACCATTTACAGTGTGAATCAAATAACTCCATCATGTTGTATTCAACGTGACATTCGTGTTTTCTCTCCACATATGTGTGTGTTTGATTTTCCTGCAGCATTTTATCGAATTGCAATTCATACTTGCAGTGAGGAATCCTAGAGCATGACTCAGTTCAACATAAAAATTAAAGTTAAATCAACCATATGAAGTGAAAAATGACAAATATTAATATACAAGTAAATAAATAGCCTAAGGGGTCTTTTCCATAAACTACTCAAGCTGTTATGCATAGCATTTTCTGAAGCATACAGAACTAGATGTCATAAAATAAGAGGCTATTGCTCTGAACAGAAAGTGACGGTATACAAATTCAAGCACCTGCTGAATACAATGCATGATTAACATTTGCACTTGGTTATTATATTAGCCAGTGAACTAACCTAGCAATATCCAGAGCAAGCTTGATAGCCCTTGTCAGCTTTAAGGAGCCCTTTTGTTTCAAGTATGCACAAAGATCTCCCTGACCATCAATTAAGAGTCTATATCAACGGTCACGAGTAGTCTAAGGAAATTAAGAATCAATTAAATCTTATTGACCACAAAGATATTCCCCGAACATTTAGCAGTTTCAAAAACTAAAGGTTCCTCTCTAGTAGTACATAAACAAACAAGATATTTATGACTTCTCTAAATGCAAACCATTATAAATCATCTGCACCGAAAGAAAAAAGAAAATTTTGTTTCTAGTAGAAATAAAGAAAATCTAAGATAAGTACAGTGGACAATAGAAAAGTCAAGAATTCAAAATTAAACTGAAAAGTACCTTGGGCAGATATTCCGTGACTATCATCATCGGAGTACTTTGTGTTACAGCACCAAGAAACTGTACAACATTTGGGTGGCGTATCTGTTGAAATAAAGCTAGCTCATCCCTGAATGCCTTTCTGTGCAAACCACCAAAAGAACCCAGTCGAATCAGAAATCATCAGCAATTGTTTATACAATTAAGCCCCTGTTTGACCCCAATTCTTTAGAATTCATTTTTTCCCAAATTTATTTTCAATCACACATTTTATGGGACCACAACTTTTCAACCACACATTTCATTAAATTTTATCGAAATCTACTAAAAATTTGATTTTTAGCCAATCCGAACATGGGCTAAATGGGAAGATAAAAGATCAACATAAGCAAATTCATATATAGCATATGACCAACCCACACTTTGTCTTCATCTGTGAACAATTCTTCACCAAATTTCTTAACAGCAACTTGAATTCCACGCCATAGTGCAATGCAAAATGTTCCCTACAATTTATACAACAAAGAAATCACGGAAGTGATGGAAAAGTTATAATTAACATCATATTCCCACTTTGTCCCACATTCCTAGTAGTTCAAATGAATGCTAGAAAATAGTCAGAAAGTTAAGAGTCCTCTATGGTATAACTGAAAATGTCTCCACTTTCTAAACACGCAAGCATACGACAACATAAGTTTGAGAAAGCAATGCACTGCAAGATCTTAATATGAATTGATAACGTTCTTAGTAAAAGGACGCACAGTTTACAAAAGGTTTCATGTAAAAAAATCAGCAAGCTTTTCAGATACAGAATAAATTTTACCTTAGTTATCTCCACACTGTTTGTAAAATCGAGCTCTCTCATATCAATTTCATATTCAGGAACTTCACGAGCATTCTGCACATGCATGGGAGCCACCTAAAAGAAAAGGAATAGGACACTCTGATGTTCACACTATGAGACAAAGCATATACTATTGCGAAGACAGTTGTTTCATTAATGAAACAAACAGCAAAACAAAAAAATCAACCAGCATTACACGCTTGACAAGACTTGTGACACTTACAGGAGGTCTTGCACCATGTGCCTCCAAAAGCTTGATAACATCATTATTTTTGTAATTTATTGCATCTGCAAGAGGCTATTTAATCAAACTTTGTCAATAACATATCTACCAATAGCTTGGTGAGAACGTTGAGACCTTAAAACAACACTACTAAAATTCCAAATACAGAAAACAAGCTAGACAAAAGTAAATTGCATTCATATGTGTCCATTGTGCATATTACACTTGCTACCACTTGGCTTCCCGAATCTATCTAACTACAGACAAGTCATTGAATTAGATATGGACAGAAGTCGTTCTGCTGCATGACGTTACAAGAGAAAAGGCAACATTGCCTACTGATAATCAAGACAACTTTAATTTACATCAAAAAAAGGCAACAAAGAGAAATTTGTGTAAGCGTCACTTCGTCAGAACAGCATAGAAACTTTTGAATTCATTTTATTGGAAGTTGCCAAAAACTGTTGACCACATTAGCGTCGCAATAAGTGTTTCCAGAATTATATCATGTGGGCCAGATTTAAACATGGTAAAAGTTCTTTTTGTAAGGATAAGGTTTTTCTAAACTTGCTGATGCAACAGGGCTATTTGAAATTCCATCCATGTCTAGCATCAAAGTTAGCATCTTTCGTGAATTACAGAAAATTCCCAAAACTTTCCATTACATTATGCCAAATTGCCAATTATGCCAAACTCGGTCTGATACAAAAATAAAAGAGAAAAAAGGAGCAAAATATAAAAAAAGATCATGCTAAAATATTCATTTTCAAGAAATGGAAATAAAACTTTCATGCATCACAGTTACCCAACCAGATTACATTGAAAAAACCCGTGGCTGATGAATGACCACTCTAAAAATTCATCCCTTAAAAAAATAAAACAAAATTTGCATGCATCACAACTACCCAATAAGATTACACGGAAAACTTCATGGATGATGATGATGATGAACCTCTTCAAATTCTAATTTTTTCTCTCTCAATAAATAAAAATCTTACAAACTATACAGAATATTTGATAAAGTTTTCCTTCTGCTGCTATATCTTTCCCTTTACAAATAAAACACCGACTCAGCCTCTTTTTAAATAAAAGAACAGCTTCAAATTTCTCAACCACTAAATTAATATGAAAGATAAAATTCGACTTCACTTCTTAATAAACGATAGCATAAGTCAACTCATTACTCCCCGTGTCACCCATCCCCCACTTTCTATCTGTTAATCATTTGGGTTTTACCCTCGTAAAACAGTAGCTTCTAATATTAGAGCGAAAATAAGGGATGGACTCGTCCAAATTATTAAAAATCACTAAATTGTCATTAGCTAATTTGAAAAAGTTGAAGCTTTTATAAATTTTCTCCCAACTTCATTAATTGACAGTATAATAACGAATATTAACAATTCATTTTTACCCATTAATTATAAAAGCAAGCATACCGTGCTTCCCCACCGGTCATTGACGTTGACTTCGGCGCCACGGTGGAGAAGCAAGTCGATAACATCAGAGCGGCCCTGACAAGCCGCCACGTGTAGGGCGGTGCGGCCATCAATATCCGTAAAATTCACGTCGGTGCCAGAGTCCAATAGCTCTTGAATCCCTTCCACATCGCCTTCATTTGCTAAGTACATCAACCGCACGCCCGAATCTATAATCTCTACATCCAGTACGCCGGAACCGGAAACGTCATCATTTTCAGGGGCGCCGGAGGATTGCTTACCCAGTGTGAAACGTGACTGTGGCTTTGACTCCATTCAGGGCAATCTATATATTATTTAAAAAAGTGCGTGAAATGAGAGAGAGAGGATATGTGGAATTTGGTTTAGGGAAAGAGAATATAGGTACGAATTCGGCCGCACTTGCGTGAATCTTTTGAATTAAAGGGTTACGACAAATGACGTTTTACCTCTCTCTATTTTTCTATTCCCTTTTTGGTATTACAATTTCTTCTATATTACAGTTTTTTTTTTTTTGGTCAATTGACGTTGATTTATGAATTTAAATTTCATCACAATTCGACTCGATCATTCCGTCTCGACTGCAATTGATCATATTTTAATTTTAATTTAACTATTGAGTTTTAATTGTGATCAGAATTGCATTCGGTAACAAGGCAAAACCGAATAAACTACAACAATTACTCCCTCTACTGTTACGACTTATGATGTCGGCAAAATTTTCTTATAATTTGGTACACGAGTGTGTGAAATGGCTTTTTGCACCAAATTATGTACATTCGTGAGTAGTGCTCAAGTTTTTGTAATCTTTTCATTGTCAATTTCATAATCACCAATTCATTGATTCTGAGTTTTCGTGAATAGCGAAAGATTACCTGCCTCCCCCATCGAAGCAACTGATGCAAATCAACTATTGAACGCTAAACCACAAGAAGATGCTGAGGCTACATTAATAAAGTTTTAAAATATTGAACGCTAATTAATTAATTCAAAACTAATAACTTCAATGTCAACAGAAAATCTTAATCGAAACAAGAGCAAAGACTAAAACAATTAGATATAAAAACATTGGCCAATTCAGCGTGTTTTGGGAGTGAAAATAATAATCTAATATGATCAAATATATTTTTTATCCACACATTTCATGAGAAGAGAAGGGCGACTTATAATCACTTCTCAAGCATAACATATTGCGATAAACAGTGTGAGCAAGTAATCAGTTTTCCAATGCACGAATTAAAGAGAGAAAAAATAAGCTATATGTAAGATTACAAAATGTAACTGAAGGAGTTGAAAAGAGAAGGGAGAGCACAAGAAGAATTGAAAAGCTAAATCGCAAATTTACTGCTAATCTAGCGTCCGAGAAACAGAAAAGTGACCATCTGAGACGCCACTCTTTGACACGCTGCTGCAAGATTTTCAATAGCAAAGATAGGGTTTCTTCCTACACCCCAAGCATGATTTCCAGAAGCAATTCTTTTCAATCTATCTTCACTGATGAGAACAGGTAATGGACAAAGTAGAATGACGTAAGGAAACCGATGGTACCGGTAGAAAGCATGATTGCAATTGCCATTATCAGTGAGTAGCCAAGATAAAGCATTGCTGAAACAGGACCGCTTAAACTTCGGAGGTCGAAAATCAGATAATTGACAGAGTACAAGAACACGAAGAAGGCAACTGAACCTGATGCATAGAATGCTTTCCACCACCACATCCAATCCTCAACACAAAGATGCATGTAAGTGAGGACAACAGAAACTTCAGCACAGACGATAACCAACAACGTGAAGACAACAAGCAGGAAACCAAAGACGTAATAGAACCTTCCAAGCCAGATGCTAGATAGAATGAAGAAAAGCTCAATAAAGAGGGTTCCAAATGGAAGAGTTCCAGCACCAAGAACAAGAAGCCATGATGGATATTTGTGTGGAGGAATCTCTCTAGGGATCTGGTTAGTACGGACAGGGTATTCAATAGGCTCGGCTCGGGTGCCTAAGAGTCCTCCCAAGAGGGTAAGTGGCACTGAAATGCAGAACCAGAGAGACAAGAGCACAAAATATAAAGATATGGGAATAGCACCAGTACTCTTGCTACCCCAAAGGATGAAATTCAACACAGTCAAAATAACAAAAACAATTCCAGGAAAGAAGCATGCTGTAGACCAAGCAATCGATCTCCAGCCTTCAGATGACCCTTTGATAGTCCTCCACATGCGCACACCAACATAACCAGCTGCAATTCCCAAGAAAAGATAAAGCAATATCATCCCTGTTAACAGCATACCTCGTGAAGCTGGTGACATGAATCCAAGAGCTGCAAAAATAATAGTCACAACTGCCATCCCAGTAATCTGAACTCCATCCGCAACCATCACACAAAGTAGCTTTGAATGATTTGGTTCTCTAAAGACATCACCAACCACAAGTTTCCATCCAGAAAGCTCCTCATTCATCTGTGCCTGAGCTTCCTTGTCCAACTCCTCGTACCTCGCCAAATCCCTTCTCACAGTTCTCAAAAAGATGACAAAAACAATTCCAGCCAAGAAGAAAATCACCATCAATGAATTAAGAATTGAGAACCAGTGCACACGTGCACCTTCCATCTTCAGATAAGCATCCCATCGAGATGGCCATCTAACATTGCTTTTCAAAAACTCGACCTCATATGTAAATGATACTCTCTCTTGCTCCCTTATAATCTGAGAATTTTCAAGCTCCTGTGGACAGCTTACAGTTGTAATATTGTCGTAGATGTGGAGTTTTGTCATCTTTTCTGGGTTATATTTTACACTGCAAGGAACAACCTCAAAACCTACAATTTCATAGCCGGAAGCCTTCTTCTTATCAGCTTCTGAAATGACACCCAAGCCTTCTTCCCCAGTTCCAATTATCTCCACGCCAGCCCCTTCATATTCGTGAATAAAAACCTTGAATTTGAGATGATTGATGATGTAATCATCATTACTGCCCGGTGGAGTGTATCCAACAGGAAACCCAGTCCACTGAATTTTAACTCCATTTTGGTTGGTAAATCTCATAACTGGTAGATTGTCCAATATCATGTTCACTTGATACAGATCATGAGTTCTCTGCTTCAAAAGCTTTACCTGATTCTCACTCAATGGAGGAGTAGTGCAGAGGTAAATGGACTCATTAACATTCATCCGGAAACGGTACGGGGAATTATCAATCTGATCTCCCATGAGCAGTTCTCCAAGATTCTCAGCACTTTTTTTAACACCTCCTTGAGGCTCGCAGTAAGGAAGACTGTAATAGCTGAAAGGAAGCTCAGTTTCAATAGAGGTCAAGGAATTCACTTTAGCATATATTTCGCCCCCATTTGAGTATGTATTCATGTAACTTCCAGGGAGATAAAACCCATTGCAGGTTTGCAATATCAGATCCAAGAATAATAAAGCAGCCAAATATTTCCTTCTTGAAATGGAAGACAGCGCCATTCAGTGAATGGAAAGCAAAGCAAATCCAACCTGATTAATCTAAGCTAAAATTATGACATACAAAGAATCAATCCTGCAAATAGAACATTAAACATCAGTTTTTAAGGTAATACAATGAGTTCAAGATATGCATACTATAAACTGGCATGATAAAGGGATTAATTAATTAGGGGAAGGTTGTCTTCATTTAACCCCCAAAATAGTGATTGTTTTTCCAACTCAAACTATAGATCCATCTACCATATGCAATTGACTCAACAGTGGATGCAAGTTAGTTATATGCTGTGAAGAAAATCAACTAAAAGTCTACTCACAAATATCGAGGGACAAATATGAATATATAATGAAACAGAATGTAATGCACAACATATTGGGGAAGCCTTTTATAGAGCAATTACAATTTTGTCTTTGTCCGAAGTGCATATATTTTATGCAATTTCAATTGTCTATGCACGTGCACCCAGACATAAGTTAATACTAATCTATTTTTCGTGTTTGATGGCAAATCCCATTGTTCAAAGTTCAAACAGGAAAATATAGGGCACAAATCAACAATCTGTTTGACTCTAAAAAATATAGTCCTGCTGCTCCTTGGAAGTAAAAAAGAAAATAGATTAATAATAATAAGCTGTTAGGTTGATTTTATCAAATATTATGTAACGTGGGAATGTAAAATCTAAAAAGAACAATGAAATATGCCGTACATCAAACAAAACACAGATACACAATTAATAGATAAGGTAATAAATTCAGGAATCAGCTAACAAGGAAAACATTCGCTGGCGGACAATCAGACAAAAACATTGTCCCACGATCATTGGAATTGTTTGTCTTCATCCTGTAATTAAAGCTACGCTCCTTTGACTAGTCAATCTGTCTTTTTCCTCAGAGAGATAGAGCACGCCAATTTACTTAATTTTATTACGTAATGATAGAAGAACTTTAGAGTATGTCAAATAGGGGTATCACTGTAAAGTTTTACGATATTAATAAATACATAGATTGATATAGTGTTTGTTTACCTTTCATTATGATCTCCTTAAAATTTAAAGATCAAAGTCAAACTTTAATTTTAACTACACGTTTTGTAAGACCCACTTATCCATCTCTCATTTCTATATCATTATAATTTCAACAACTTACATGAGTTGTTCCGGAAAATTGACAAATAGTCTGTTCGAAACCTAATAAATGTGGCAATACCAAAATGACAAATGGAGTCGTAACATTAACCCAATATCATGTAAATAAAAAGTCAATGGCAATCTCCATTCATTATCTTGACCGGATTTTCAAACTTCATCCAAAGTGTATCCACTAAATTACAATCTGTAATAGTTTGACCTATAAATGTGGAAATACCAATACAACAAATTGAGGAATAATATCAACTAGATATCCGGCAAATCACAAGTCAATAGCAATCGCCAATCATTAACTTGAAAGGCTTTTCCAACTTCGTCAAATGTGTGTCCACTAAATTACGATCTGCAAATCTTTGAATATTTTAATCACTTCAGCCCACAAACACATAAAAATAATCACTGTAATTGTATCCTAAATGTATCAAATTAATCACACCTCGTACTCGAAAGAACTTGAAAGGAAAATGAAATAATTTCATTATCATCGTCAGTCCAAACATTGATCTACGATAGCTAAGAAATAAACAACAAAAACCAAACAAAAATTCCACACGAATTCAGCAACTAATACTCCAGATCTAGGGTTTTAACATCAACATAGAAACAATACATAAAAAACTGAACAGATGGATAATCTTCAATGCAAAAAAATTCACAAATAATAGAACCGACAATAACAAATACCTAAATTAACGTACTTCTATAACTCTACATGAATAAACAATTAGCAAATGAAACTTATTGTAAAATAGAAACACACCTTTGGTGGATCTGGAATTGATATGGATCGAACTTTGGTTAAACACGGAGTTTTTCTGAAATCGAAAGGAGGTGAAATGTACGTGTATGAGAGATATTTGTGTAGGATGGGAAAATGCTAAATCGCGTGAATACGAAGTTCCTCCAGATTTAGATCTCAAGATTATTCGACGCTTTTGGGCTACAGATTTTTATATTTAATTCCTTTTACATAAAGACGTATATACCCTTGTAATTTCGCACAGATACAGGCAAGCCTCCAACCTTAGGGGCACGACTAAAAAATTAATATGCAAATCGGTGCCATAATATGTGTGAACGAATTTCATAGGTTCGTCTCGTTTAATAAAGTCAACCTTATGAGAGTTAAGATTGACTCGATAACAAGAGACTTAAACTTAATTACAATTCTCAATTAGTGACAATAAGACGAGATTGTGTTGCGGTGAAAAATTTTTAAGGTCAATTTACGTACTAACATGAGTATCGATTTGAACTTATTTACAATTCTCAATTAATGCCTACAAAACGGAAATGTGTTGTAGTGGGAAATTTTCGAGGTCATTTCACATACCAATATGAAAATGACGTGAATTTTTCGTAAAACATTTCTCCTTTTTTTTTTTACTTAAAAAAATATGTATTTTTGCAATTCTTGAAATAAAGCAACCATCTTGAAGTCAATTATAATTTGTTACAAGGCCATAAAGACGTGTACCACACTTCAATCTTTTGCTATAAAGATGTGTACTAGGAGTAGGAGTGGAGATGGGGGTGAACCCTATTTTTTTATTTTTACGCGTAGAGAAAAAAAAATCCCTTCTCACGAGTACAACATTGGGAACTACATCCCCATATTACATTTGGAATGGTTCAAGACGTTATTTGAGAATTGGGTTAAATCAACATATGACCGCCTAATTTTATATTTAGTGTCACATTGGTCATTCAATTTGATTTTATTTTATCATAGCTCCCCAATTTTATAGTTAGTGTCACATTGGCTACCTAATTCGATTTTATTTCACAATGGCCACCCATTTTCATACTTAGCGTCACATTGGCCACCATATTTGATTACGTTAAATAAAGTTATCAAGTTATTTGACTAAAACTAAATATGAAGTTAACTAGTCATGATGAAATAAAATCAAATTAGGTAACCAATGTTATCGTAAATATGGAGTTGGGTGGTTATAGTAAAACAAAATCAAATTGAGTAACCAGTATAACAGTAAGTGTGAAATTGGGATAACCATTAGTGAATTCAACCATTTGAGAATTATACTGGTAATTTGATTATATTTTTTAAATTTATTTGATTTTATGAAAATAAAATCTAATCTCTCTAGACAAATAAGGGTGGCTAATGGGCCAAATTGCACATGGACACGACAACGAGTCATAAATCAAGTCGAGCTAAATATAAAAGTGAAAATTACAAACAACCAGACTTTTAAACTTTTCAATTCAAAATTAAAATTTACAGGCTTTTTTTTTCAAATATCGGAAGATAAATAAAATTTTAATAATTTAATTTTAAAAAAAATAAATTAAAACACAATGTGAACTTGATTACAGCCCCCAAACAACAAATCCTTAGAGCTCGTTTGGTAAAGATTAAAATCCAATTAAAATTGAAAATATAGCCGTTATTTGGTCTCACTCGTCTAATAAAAGTCAACAATAACGGCTAATTTTTCAATTTTAATCTCTACCGAACACGCCCTAAATCTATCTCCCTTCTACTTTCCTCTCTCTATATGAGTATATTCTATCTTTACCCATCTCCCTACCCATCCCTCTCTATTCCGATGGATTGATCGGCACTTGCAGCGACGTCACATGAAAGGCGGCTCTCCTCTTGAGTGGTCGCGCAGAAGGTGGTACGCATAGCAATGACTTACGTGAAGAGCGTCGAAACAGGTTTTTCGGTGGTGTATAAATACTAAATAGTTGTTTGAGCAAAGACCCTCGAGCGACCTCCAATCATCGCAGCGACGCTCTTCGTTGTCCGTCGACAGTGCACAGATATTAGATTGCCACTTTCAGATCACTACTGGGATTTCGGGATTCGTCTTGTTGAAGCAAAAGAAGAATAAGATGCACCATAACCATCGTTGATTTGTGTTTTGCAATTGTTGGTGGCAATTTGGTGGTGACAGTGCTAACGATGGTGTTGAGGTGGTGTTGGTTGTGTGTGTTAGTTTGTTTGAGATGATGGACATGGTTTGTAGATGCTGATGTTGCTGCCCATAATAGAAATTTTGGTGTTGGTGTTGGTGTTGGTGGTGCCAGATATGAATTCAAATACCGCTGCAGTTGGTGGTTTTTATGGTGCGGTGGTGTTCGCATATGGTTTTTGCGGTTGGTGGTATTTTTGTGGTGGTTGTGTAGTGATTTTAGATGATGGCAACGTTATGTTGTATTGGTGGTGGTTATGGTGGTGGCGACGATGCAGGTGATGGTAGTGTTGGAAACGGTACGTCTGGAAGAAATGCTGTTTCAAATTATTTTGTTGATCGTGACCAACAAATTAGTTAATGCATGATCAATAAGCAATATGTAAATAGATAAATTGTGATTAATATAGAATGTGTGAACTAAAAAATTGTTAATTTGTGATTGTGTAATAAGTTGTGACTTATAAAATTTGTGATTTGTAATCGATAAATAAATTGTGGCTATAAATTTTTTATTTGTTACCGAATGAACAAATTGTGACCTATAAATTTTTTGATTTGTGACCGTAAAATAATTTATGATATATAAAATTTTTGATTTGTTATCAATTAATCCAATAATTGTGACCTTACATATTTAATTTTTAAAAAATAAATTAAATAATTATTTCATAAATAAAATTTAATTAATATATGATTTTTGAAGTTTTAAACCTTAATTCTTAATTTTGAAATGAGCGATACTTAATATTTTAGCTATGAAATTTTCCACAAAAAAAACACGAGTCGAGCACGTTCGACACGTGAAACCCACGAGTCAACTATTGGGCCCACTAGTTTTTTATTTTTGAACTTTCATTAACTTCTTGAAAAAATTATTTGCTTTTGAGTTTATTTGGTTAATTGTTTTAAA